CCTACTTAAAAATAAGTTCAAAGCAGCAATAAATATTTTAGATATGTTCGGTCACTCCTGCCATGAGTTATTTTCCTACAAATTCTATTCTCACTATAGAAGTGTTTGTAAAATTTTACATACTATATTTTTGTCCTAAAATTTTCTGGAATGATACCCTTTTCCACTAAACATAAAGAATCTCACATTAGTTTTACTTCTTCTAAATAATGCAGGACTGTAAGTTTAGTAATTTTACAAAGATTAGTCAATGCTTATTATCCCCCAAATAATGGTCTTTTATGTGTTCCAACAGCAAATTGAACGTGTGGTTTCAGAGTAATTGAGGGTGGAGTAAATCCATATAGCTAATAAAACTTTTATTAATATTAAACTAAGTTTAGAAAATATTCAAGTGACTCTAAAATACATCATAATTTCATGTATACTAAGTATATTTTTTTGCCAACTAAAAGTCATCAAGTAATTGTAATGATGCCAATTTTAATTGAATTTCAAGCCCTTGTTCCTATATATATATATTCTTTGTCTTGCTTTATATTGAAGCTTGTAAGAATTTTAGCAGTTTGAGAATTTAATCACCATAATTGACTTTTAATAGCTGGAATGCTGTTGACCCCCTCCCTAAAAAAAGAAAAATGATTAATTCCTGAATCCAAGGAAGAGAAAAGCAGCCTCTGACCTCAGGAAACTGGCCTGACCCTTACAAGGAGGCCTCAGGATCACTGGGAACTGGCCTGGGGCTCACAGCTCCGTCATGATGTTCTCCTGTTGGACATAAACAACCTCACAGAACACCAGCAACAGACAAGTCCACATGATGATGTGAGGCAAAAAAACACTATAATTTTGTCTAAGCACAGACAAAAGCAAGATCACTCTATACAACTTACCTGAACATTAACATCCTCCTTTCCTCCTCATTGGAGTGACTGCTACTTCTCTATCAATTACAGTTTTAGCCTAGGTCTAGTCCCTAAGTTGTGTCCGACTCTGTGAACCCATGGACTGTAGCCCACCAGGCTCCTCTGTCCATGGACTTCTCCAGGTAAGAACACTGGGGTGGGTTACCATTTCCCTCTCAAAGGGATCTTCCTGACCCAGGGATAGAAACCCACTCTCCTACACTGCAAAGAGTTTACCATCGAGCCACCAGGGAAGGTCTAGGCCTAGATAAAATTTATTAAGCCATCCAATCACAGAATTATCACCAATCCCTGACAGAGCCCAATCCAGAGCAAAGTTCAGCCTCTTTGAACCCTTCCCCAAATCTCACTTAACCAGAGCTCTGATCCTACAGCAAGTCGTGCTGACACCCTCTTACCTAGTCATCCCATGGCTCCTTCCCATGTCTCCCTCACAGCAGCGAGCAGTTAGCACTGCCTTCTCAACTCCAGTGGTGTTCCTGGTGGTTTTTGGCAGGAGGGTATTAATACATCCATAGCCCCCAAATTGTGACTGTTGAACTAGCAGTTAAGTAAAAATGTAAAAGACCTGTGTAACCTGTGAAGTTCTGTTTAAAAACTGATGTATCATGACTTCGAGGCTTAGAATTTTGTTCTCAGTGAAATCCTCCGAACCCACAAGTGGTTTTTAACATTCTACTTTTAAAAATATATTTGATGAATAGTTCCCTTCCTAAATATAAAACATATGTATTTTCTACTCTACTCTGCCCCTCCACTGAATAAAGATCCCATGGCTCTAAAGAGAAGTTAATTCTTCTGAAGAGTTTCCATTATGCTTGGGTAATCTTTGTTCTAGTTCAGATTTTAAATTAGCATCTAAATTAATGGTAAGTCATATCCCTGTCCTCTCAAATAGTAATTGATCAATACTTCTTAGACATTATAGTGCCAATTCTAAAAGGTAAGTAACATTTATTTTTCCTTTAGTTAGCACTTTTGATGGTAGCATTTTAAACCATTGGATGTAGCAACACAAAGGGGGGTGGTTTGGTTCCATCCATTTGTTTCACTATCTTTTAATATCCATCACTTTACTTCTGTGTGCGCCTGAGGACCTTGATATAATGGATCCTTTTATTGCCATAGTAGTGATTAGCATGAATAGATCTACATCCAGTCCCCAATTCCCTACACCAAACAGGAGATTAAATATGTATCTAGTTATCTTCTAGAACAGAATCTGCCACATCACTCTGTCTCTGACGTCTAGACATGCTGCCCTTTCTAAACTATTTTTATTTGGAAAGGAATCCAAGGTTTCCAATTAACCAGATCTTGCATGTGGAAGATGCTGGGTGCTGGTTTGTGACCGTGCCTTATGTAAACATTTTAATATCGTATCCCTAAAATCCAGAGGCTCCCCCAAAGGGGATTAAAACATAATCCCCTCTCTGTTACCGCTGTGGTGGATTAACTCTGTTCTCTCTGCGGCTGGTTTGCTCCCTGAAGGCTACAACAAAAAGACTCAGCGCTCCTTAAACATGCTATGGAATTGGAAGTTGTAATTGGAGATTTCCAAAGGACAGGGGTAAAAATGACACATTATTAAGGCTGAATATTTCATGAGTGCCTTTCTTAAAGAATGACCAGTTCGAAGCCCTTTTATAACCTCCCCCCCCCCCAAAAAATACCAATTCACTAGAACGCGTTTGGAGTAAAATCAAAAGGAAACGCAGTCGCCTTTCAGAAAGGCAGAGAAACAGGTAGCCGAAACATGTTCCCTGTTAAAAGTTAAAGGAATTGTGTACTTAAAATTCATAATACCGTATATTTCGGTCAATCCGTTTCTGTGGTTTTAATAACGGGTATCATGATTTTTCTCTTTTTTCCAATTTAATTGTTTGGATATGTTAAACTGTTTTTTAAGAGAACGAAGCAGTTCGCCATTTTTAATGTTTTTGACCATTCATCGTCTCCAAATACCAGAATATTCTATGAAACCAGAGATCAGTAGCTTTCCGTGTTTAGAATGAGGACTTTGCTGAGGGTTCATCAAGGCCCAAGAATATGTAGGAAGACACTGTTTCCGTTGTGAATCAGGTCACCTTCTTTCTCACCTCGCCCCAGTCAAGAGTGAACCTCCCGGATTTCTCCCGAAGAGAATACGAAGAGTGGCCTCCAGGCGAGCGACACGGCGGCTTAAGGGTTAAGGGAGCGGTTCGAACCGGCCGGAGCGCGGGGGGCTTCAGAGGAGCGCGCGCGCAGACCCTCCAATAAACACAAAGGAGGGCCTGGGGAATAGAAACCCAAATCCACTTGTAATCGTACAAGAGAATCGGGCATAATTACTTGAGCAACCTAGATTAAGATTGATGAGCCTTTAAAGTGGCGCTTCAGATCGACCGCCTCGCCCTTTGGAAAGAAAAACCTTATGGAGCCAAGGCGGACCCCCGACTCCGCTCGGCCCCAGCGGAAGCTGCCCGCCCGAGACCTGCGCCGGCAGTCGGCGCGCCCCGGAGCCGGGCGGGCGCCCCGGGGCAGGGCGGGCTCCCCGGCTGCGGCCTCGAAGGGGCTGGGAAGCGGCACAGTGAAAGCGGGGACTCTGCGTGAGCCCGCCCCGAGCGGGCGGTCCCGACCGGGATGCAGGCTGACACCCAGTGTGCCCCACAGCCACCACCCCTCCCTTTAAGCGCGACAGCCGGCCGAGTCCTCCTTGGTCCTCCTGCAGCAGAAACGCCCGGCTTTGTGCAGGACGGGGGTGGACTCGGCGTGTGCCGCTCCCTGGAATCGTGGGCCCCGCCGCCGTCCCCGCGCTCGGACGGGGACCAGGCCCGGCCTGCTCGCCGCGGTTCCGGCGGGGCGAACGGGTCTCCCCGCGAGGAGCCGCCGCGCGCGAGGGGCCCGGGCCTGCTCGCCGCGGTTCCGGCGGGGCGAACGGGTCTCCCCGCGAGGAGCCGCCGCGCGCGAGGGGCCCGGGCCTGAGCGGCCGCAGGGGACCTACCTTTTCATTGCTTCCCCCCTACTGTTCCTGTGACTCATTTAAGTGTGTGCTGGAGAGGGTGGGTTGGGGGTGCGGGGATGGAAGGGAATATAATGAACCCTGGCTACAGAATAACGAATGCATTTTTTTTTTCTAAGTCTATATTTTAAGTACAGACTTGAAGGGAGGGAAGAATGTCCCCGCTCTACGGGCAATCTTAAAGGGGCAGTTAAGTAACCCCTCCCCCTTTGAATTAATATTCTAATAAGTGAGATTTTTAATTTTCGATTTTAATTCAGATGGAAGGAATTCAAAGTAAGCACCTTAGTAGGCACACTTTATAAAAATCTCTTTACTGAAGCTCAGTTTCTCTAGTCCCCAAAGTTGAGAAAGGGCACTTTGCAGATGCTCTTCTGAGAATCGTTTTGTTCAGTCGTCTTACAATTTCATAGTGTTTGGCTTATTCCAGGTGAGAAAAAAATCACTGCTACAATTTTCTTGCTTTTCTGCATAAACAATGTATTTAACGTCCGCGTTTTGCGAGTATATCGATGTGCTGTGCACGTAGGGATCCCTTCCTGCAAAATGCAAACCCGTTAGTGCAGTGGGATTTATATATTAGACCCTATACCTCTTCACATCCTCCCGCCCATCCCGGGGGGCCACTGCTGCCCAGTGGACGGGATTTACACGTTGGCTGGTCTTTGGGGACCATGCTGACTGTCTAGAGCGTCCCTTCGGAAGGGAAAGCCTGTGCGTGCTCAATGGAAAATCAGGGCCTTAGAGAGTCATTCTGCACTTTTAAGTTGGTTAGTGTCAGCACCCCACTAACCATGTAGGATTTCTAGGCCGAGGTTGCAAACTTGCTTACTGAGGGTCACTTATTCGATTTTGTGACCTCTTGGGTTTTTATAGAATTATTTATCTCCAGTCTGGTTATAAGGTAATGTGTAACAAGTAAGCAGACCTAGCTCACATGAAAGGAGCTTGCCGCATAATACAGACACTATTTTTTTTCAGTGCATGTTTAAAACCTGAGGTGCCCTTCCGGGAGGGAGCAGGCAAGGGGCAAAGAGGCACAGCCTGACCCCTCTGGTGCCCTCTTCTTTCAGGTCCAGTGGTTCTCAGCACTCCTGCCCAGCTCATTGCTCCTGTGGTGGTGGCCAAGGGGACGCTCTCCATCACCACGACCGAAATCTACTTCGAGGTAGACGAGGATGATCCTGCCTTCAAGAAGATCGACACAAAAGTGAGTGAAAATGATTCCGCGTGCAGTGCCGGTGGCTGTGTGGCGGGCAGGAAGTGTTTTTCCATTTTGCTTGGTTTTAAATGACAGTGGGGGAGGGGAGCACATTCCCATCCTCACAGAAGATGAAATGAATGAAATAACACTTGCTCTATTTTATGGGACTGGAGAATATCGTAACCATCTTAAGTCCTGTTATTACATTTTAACAGTCTCTCTGTGCTAGTGCCTTTGTGTGCACTTGGGCAAATTTGGTAGTGAAGCCAGTTGCTCCCAAGTCCCTCGGGTACAGCATCTCAGATTCTCTGGGAAGACTGGAAAAGGGCTCATGGAATTTCTTACTAAGGTCACTTTTAATTTCCAAAAGTATACATTGAAGTATGAATCACTGTTTGTTAAAAGATTGTAAGAAAACTATGGAGGGCATTTAGATATAAATTCCTCTCCATTATTACATCCAGTTTTCATCTCCTGAAATAAGAATGAGTTTTATATGTGAATGTAAGAAGAGAAATCGATTCTCTGAGAAGCCTTGCTTTAAAATGTGTCTACATAGTACGTATTGGTGCTCAGCTGTTTAAAGATGAGGTCTTCTGTGGTTGTAGTGCCAGACAATGTATATTTAGATGATTTGAAATACATAAATATGTGTTTATTATTTTATTTTGTAAAACTTAAAACTTGAGTATTCAGCAGCTCTATACCCCTGAAGTTTCTTCTGAAATCAATTCCATTGTTGTTTTAACTTTTATGTTACTGTGCCATTTGTAAACATTTTTTTCCTGAGGCTTATCAATTCAAGCACATAAGTCATGCTAGATAAACAAGCATCATTTTGCAAAAATCTGCCTTTAAAGTATTTTTCAGAGGCAATCGTTCTAAAATAGCAAAAGACAAATGCTCCCAAAGATCCAGAACTTTATTATTTGTGTTTAATTTATATATAGAAGTAAAACATTATAAAATGCTATTTGTGGAATAGCAATTAAAAGCCTCAAATTTACCTCCACCTGAATTAACTAACCAAGGCCCATAGGTAATTAGCCCCTCCCAGACTTGTTGACTCTTAAAATACTCTGGAGGGTAGTCACAGGACTTCTTTTATTTCTAGCTCCAAAAGAACAGAATTTTGAAAATGAGTTTGAATGTAGTGCATTTGATTTTAAATCATTTAAAGTTTGTCTTTATGCTTTTATCATTGGCTTGCTCTATGAAGTAAACGGTAATTTTGGATTTCTGATTAATTTATCCTGCCAGTGGAACCCTTACTGCATAAAATAAGGTTTGACATATATTAGGTCAGAAATTACCTTCATTTTATTAGCATAGTTTTCATATACAAATTTCAAAAGTTTTATTAGGACTTTGTTAAGTTCATTTTTCTCGGAGTTTGTCTGATTTTTAACTCAGCAACCATGACTATCATGACATATTTCATCCTTATAGTGTCAAAAATTCTACATAAATAATTAACCCAAAAGAGCAGGCTTTCAAAGGTAGATTTAAATTGTTTCTGTTGTCGAATGGAGTAGTCTTATAAGTAAGTCAGAAGCTAACAGATCATTATATTATGTAACTATACAAAAAGAGCTTTTTGCCAATATTTTAAGGTTTTATTTTAAGTTATTTCATTAGCATATTTCTCAAAATGTTTAAAATATTCAAGTGGTTCAGTTTTCAAACTGAAGCATTACATCTTTTGACAGGAAAACGATTTAGAGTGAGACACAACAAGTTTTATTTTACTTCATTTATTAGCTTCTAATTAAATAAAAACCAGCAACAGAAATTAAAATCTAAATCACAAAAGTAATTATCCAGTGTATTTCAAGTGCATTTTTCAAATATATAATTCAGATATTCAAGCGTTATTATATAAGCTGAATTCAAATTTCTTTGAATATATTTAAATAACATTTCAAGTATATTATGGAATGTTAGAAATAGAACAAGCAATATATTTGAAACAAAATGTAAACTTTTTAAAGTTCAGACACTTTTAAAGACAGATAAAAGTACCAGGAGGAAATCTACCTTTAAATTATATCTGTTAGTGGAAAATGTTTGGAAGTATCCAAAATGCCAATTTAACTTTTGTTCACCAAATCACAAAACACCAACATCCACACTTTCAAAGACAATGTGAGATCACAATATTTGTTACAAATCAAAATATACATTACACTTTCCTTCAGATGGCATATCCAAATCATGTTTACTCACAGCCAAGATTGCTATAATCCTCTGATAGTTAGGCAGCCTTCACTGCGGTCTTGCGTTACAGCCAGGCTGTTTTCCGGGTGTTCCTGTGTACTTTTCAAGGGCGATAGGAAATCCTTTGTAAAGAAGTCTTCTAATACTTGTGGGTTTGGGGTGTTCTCCATCTGCTCTCCCTACTCCTTTTCTCCCCTTGGAGGGGTGGGTGAGATGATGCCTTAAGCGGTTGAGTTAGCACTCCTTTTGAAGGAAGAGATTGTTTGCACTGCCGAGTGGAATATTAGATAAGAATCGAACAGGAAGTTTACACTGCATGAGAACTTTTAAGGATGAAGAGTATAATCACATTTAGGCTCTCGATTAAAATTGTCCTCTAAAGTTTCTCCAAACTTTTCGGGTTGGTCAGGATCTCCCTCGCCAGTCGCCACGTTTGTTTGGCAGCGTTCTCTAGAGCCGAGTGAGGTTTGCCCTGAAACAGATCTAAGTTCGGTAGGAAGTAGTGAGGACATCGCCGGCACTGCAGGCAGGAGATGAGTTGCAGCAAAATCCCGTTCAGCCTATCACCCAGGCAGGACTCGTCCCAGTCCGACTCCCGGGGATGCTTCTCGCACTCGTAGGAAACCAGAGTCTTCATGTGGTAGTTGTTGAGGGGCTGGCCCGGCAGTTCCAGGTGACGATCCCGCAAGGTTTTGAGGATGGAGAGGCATTTCTTCCTGCAGCCCCCCATCTGCAGTCTGTTCTCCGCTTCCGCGAACTGCAGCACCCAGGCGTCGCTCTCGGCCGAGCTCTGCTTGCCGGCCAGGGAGTGGCACTCCTTGGACAAGAGATTGAACCCTTCCGCTTTGACCTCCGCCACCCGGTTGGGTCCCGGCCAGGGGATGTGGGGAAGTGGCCAGTGGGCAGCACTCCTGGGCCAGATCCCGGTGCATTTAAAAGCCGGGGTGATCTGCACCACGTACCTGTCTCGGATCCTCAGTTTCACTTCGCTCGTGTCCGCCACCATCTTTACCACATCCCTGTAACTACACTTGTCTACCGCCTGAGCCACCAGCGTCTGAAACCTGGACCGGATTTTGCGCGCCGAGAGGTAGCCGGAGGCAGTAATGAATTCCACCCAGAGGGACATGCTCCTCTTGCGGCCGTCGCTCAACTTGAGCACGGCGCAGCCGGGCAGCGAGCCGTCGTCCACAAAGTTGAACACCCCCATCTGGTTAAGGTAAAGCACCACTTCGAATTCGGTGGGGGAGATGACCTCAAGGCCCTCGTAGCGATTGTCCATCTCGTTGAGAGAGCTGATGAACCGGGGCTCCTGCACCTCCACCTCCTTCAGGACGTCGGAAACTACTTTGCAGACTTCCCGGATAGTTTTGGCAATGGCAGCTTTCCTGGCTTGGCATTTTTCGTTGTAGTATTTATTCAGATGGTAAACCAGCTTGGCCTGGGCCGCTATCATGTTGGGGCAGAGATCCGGGTTGTACACCGGAGTCTCGCAGTAAGCTGTGGGATCCAACGCGGCTGCTAGAGCTGGAGCCAACTTCGGTGGAGAAACGGGCCGCGGCGCTCGGAACTGTACCAGAAGCGTCTCTCCGAAGTGCGGCGGCGGCCGGGGAATCCCTCGCGCCGTTCTCCCCTGCTTTTTATCTTTGAGCCCAGCCGGCCTTAAAGTGAAAGGTTGTTCTCCCCCCCACCCCTCCTCTCTTTCTCTCTCCGTCTCTCTTCCTCTTTTAAAGAATCCCTCCTTGTGTGAGAGAAGCGCCTGCAGAGATCACCTCCTCAGTTATAAGAACAAAAGTTGCGGCGAGACCCAGCACAGCTCTTCCAGTAGTCAAACTAATCAGCCCTTTCCCTATTTATTTACGCTTGCCCGTGATCATGGTGTGTGCCGGGCTGGGAATCGGGTGGAGGAAAAGTGTGCTGAGTGTGCGTCGGGGGTGAGTGTGCGTCTGTGTATATGTCAGAAGAAGCTGCTGTTGGTTTGCCTTAAGAGCCCAGATGCACTCGTGTGGAAATTATAAAGGCAGGGCCAGGCAAGCTGGCGGCCAATCGCCACTGGGCTCGTCACGACAGCCTCCGTCAGCTCCAGCCCGGCTAATTAATCCCCCCTCTTGGATATAGGCACACAAACTAAAGGTAGGAGGCTGCTGCTGGGCAGAAAACCACCCAGGCCACCTAGACAGTTTTGGAAATCAGGAGGAATCTCTCAGCTTTGGTATTAATTGAAGCATATTGACGTCTTGAAAAGACTTGGCAAAGTGGTTCTCTTCTGTGCTGAAAAACCCTGCTTGTCTTTTTAACCGACGAAATGCAAATACAGGTGTACTAATGGTCATCCATCAATTGGTGAATTAGATGGGGTTTTCTGAAACAAAAGTCACTAACTTGCATTTAGAGTGAGATAATTAACGCCTGTTAATCCTGGAGGTCTTTTTGAATGCAGGCTGGGAGTTTGCTCTTCAGTGTATGTGCAGGCTGGTTTTGGATGGACTGATACCAGTGTAATTTTCTGGATGTTCCCATAGTAGAATGATTTTTTTTAATGTTATGCAGTGTTTTACCTATGTTTTTCTCCTCATTTGCAGTTGTTGAAAGAATCTGAAAATGATTGCTGTCAGATGTTGTCTACTCCAGTTTAAGCTGGGATGTTTAAAAAATGTTTAGTCCACCCCTCCCCCCATCTGCAGTCGTCTTTGTACTTTGGTAGACTTGCCCAACATTATGACCAAGACACTAACTTTTTGTATGCACTGGCAGACATATCTGTGAAATAAAACTCTGAGATTGAGAGA